TCTTCGCACATATGATCATCCAACCATCATCTCAAGTTCTGTTAGCCAGAAAATGCTTTAAGAACAGAACTTAGAGCTCTGAAACAATACATTAAACTATCGCGCTATAACAGTGGTAACTCATCAGGGGTCGAGCAAAGGTCCGAGAACCATGATTTACTATTTTTTTCTACCAGTTCCAATTGGGCGAAGAAAGATCCTGCTTTTTATTAGACGAAATTGGCTTAGAACAGAAGAAATAATGTCACGACCAAATTCGTCAAAAATTAGAACTTTCCATACTGGATCAGGGCTGGTCGTCGGCACCAAGAGATTGTCCAAAGATGCATTCGGAAATATTGGTTCTGGCTTGACATTAAGATTAAGCATCGTGATTATGGCATCTGTTCACGTCATAAAAAGCAATATAATAAGAACACTTTTAATGGGTTCTATGCAATGGGTCAAAATATATTAGAACGAAGCTTACCAATTTGTTGATCCCTCAAGCTCAAATCTACAGTAAAACACGAAAGACAGTTTTGTAAACAAAATTTTAAGTTATTGATGATTTTTGCAAAACTTTAATTTTTTTTGTTAAACCTGATCTTATTTAATTGTAGACGAAGTGGCACAGTCTAACTGGTGAGGAAAATTAGGGCACCCAACAATCACATATATGGCCAACACTGTATTTTTTTCTCTTTGAATCATTTTATTAGCCATAGTCACTTCATTCAGCTCTAAATATCAAGATCGCTTACGTATTAGTTATTGAAATTAAATTATAAAACCGGTTCACAAATCAAGAACATATATACTTATCTATAATCCCATAATATCTTTAGAATCATTTTATTCGTGTTAATCATTTCATTCAGCTCTAAATATAAAGATCACTTACGTATTAGTTGTTGAAATTAAATTAGTAAACCGGTCCACAAATCAAGAACATAAATACCTATTTCCATTCATAATACCCTTCGAATCATTTCATTCGCCTTAGCTATTTTATTCAGCCCTGAACATAAAAATTATTTATTAGTCATTGGAATTAAATCAGCAAAACTGGTTCACAAATCAAGAAAATAAAAAATTATCTACTATTCCATAATACCCTTCGAATCATTTTATTCACGTTAGTACAAGTTTACAAATCAAGAACATAAACACTATTTACCAGCACGCAAACCATTTTTGTTCACAATGAAGTCTATATGGAATGCTTCTTTCTCTTTCTGTTCCAGAAACTACTAAAAATATTTATGATGTCATAGTTGTTCTCATCTGCAAGTACTTTTTCACATGTTGA